TTTTTTTTTCTTTTTTCCTCCCTCCCCTCCCCTACTCCTTTCTCCTCTTTGGTTTTATTAAGGAAAATGTTTAGTGCGGGAGTGGATAAAAGCAGCAGGGCTGTAACCGTTGGGAGGAACTAGGTCGCTTCAGGGGTAAACGTGCCCTGGTTGGGATAAACCTACTGTGGGTTTTCTCTGAGGTAGGGCGGTCGGTGACGGGGTGGAGGGGGAGGGAAACCTGGTGTATCCTGCTCAGCTCGTGTATGAATTTTACATGTTGTTGTTTTTTAAGGAAGCTGCAACTGTTCAGGTGGGCTTCGGGCTTGGCTTCAGCCCGCGGGCCAGAAGGGGGTGGCCTGCGCCCTCTCCCTCCTCTGCTTATGTAGAGAGGAAAAGTGGAGTTTCTTGGTTCCTGACACTGTGGCGTTTCTCCACGGCCTCGTTCTCGCAAAGGGGTGTGTGTGCGTGAAGGGATGAAACTGGAGTACCCTAATACAGGCCCTGTGACCTTTTTGCTCTGATTGGGAAGTATTGAGTGGCCGAATTTTATAGTTGCTTTGTACAACTCGGTCAGATAACATAAATATTTGTACTTACTGTAAAAATGTGCTCAATGCGATGTAACTTGGCCAACTTAGGAGAGGAGTAGGCCGATTGAAAACCAATCGATTTAAACTCAGTGTCCCTTCTGGATTACCAATGAAGGCCAAGCGTTTGATATGTGGACTCGTCAATGTTTTTTAGCGTAGCGGTGCAAGAGTCAAGTTCCCCCCTGCCCTACCTTCAAGGTGAAACTTGAAGCTTATGTGTGGTTGTGCCTGTTGTCCAGATCTGATAGGAGGATTAGCATCTAATCATTGATATGCACAGGAGAGGGAATAAAATGTCATGTTGTAGTTCTAATATGACACAAATGATATATATTGATAACAGTAATGTTAAATTATCAGCTGTAGTGATTTCCATAGAGAAACTACTGTATAGCATCTGATTATTGCCACAAAGGAATAATCTGTGTTTCATGTTCGACTCATAAAAGGTTATTCACATCGTGCTTCTGACAAAATCAGCACTTCTCTTTTTCAGTAACTTATATTGTTTCTTGTTCTTCAAGTTAGGGGCTATGACATGAGCCAGAGCTACCAGAATGATACCATACAGTAAATATCTGTTTAAAAGAGACATTTCAAATACACTAAGTTTGAAAATACACCACAGTAGCTGTTTGCCTAATGTTTCTAGGGTTTTCCTGAGCATTTCTGTAGCCCACAGAAACCAATATTTCAAGGCTAAAAGTCAGTATTTTTCCAGGGATGTCTCATTAGAACCACGGATTTAGAAGAATGAGTGAGGCTTGCAGGTGTGGTGGACTTGCAGGGCTTTGCACTTGGCAGAGCGTTCAACACGTTGCACAGCTCTCTGTCTTCAGTTTGTAACAGTAGTTTATGCAGCCAGATTAGACTCTGTGATATCATTGCAAATGACTTAATCTTCACCTTAACCTGTAAATGTTTTAAATTATTTTCTGTAGCCTAAACTCTACAGATCCATTATTGAAGATGTGATTGAAGGTGTTCGGGAACTCTTTGCAGAAGAGGGCATAGAAGAACAGGTTCTGAAAGACTTGAAGCAGGTTTGTTGGGTTCACCTGAATTAGTAAAAATTCTGTGCTTTTTCTCTTGAGATGACTTTTATCTGTTCTGTTTTTTTTACCCTCCAAAATATGCAAACTTCTCTCCTAACTTAGAGTTGCAAATGTTCTGTGAATGATGAATTGGGCTACTGGAAGTCAAAATCTAGTAGTGATTGTTACCGTGTCTGTTGGATAGAACTGGTCAGCTTAATCTTGAAAAACTAGTGATTCCTGCTTATTGTTTTAGATGCAGGTTTTTTTAAGTTGATATCTGATGACCTTAATGATATTCTTTCTGCAGCTTTGGGAAACCAAGGTGATGCAGTCTAAAGCAACGGAAGGCTTCTTCAGACATAGCCACCATTCTCCACAGTTCACTCTGCAGTTGCCGCACAGTTTTCATCGTGCTCTGCAGGCTTCAGCAGGTTGGATGTTGTTGAACAAAATGCATCTGTTGTGTTCAACAATCTAACTTAAGAATAGCTCAGTGATTCAAGAATCTTTTTGGAAGACCTGAGGGTGCTGGAATAATCTTAGCTGGTAGTGCTCATGTGTGTATCAAGTGTGATGTGGTACAATATGTATCTGAAAGTAGAATTTGACCAATAGAGCACAGACTGGATTTTGGTAAACTAATGCAGTTACATCTATCTACCCTTGATCTGCTGGCTATTTCCGGTAAGGAAATGTGAAGAGAAGTTTATCCTTCTTGTATGTAGTCCAGAAATGTAAGCCCTCAATTGCAAATTCATCAGAAGGGTTAAGTTTTCACTTCTCCATAGCAGTGTGTGGCATGATGTGTGCTGAGGGTTACATGGCATGTTTATGCCATGCAGCTCTGCATGTTGGAGCTGAATCTATCTACACATCTTTAATATGCATATTTGTAAATGATGTGGATCTTTGCTCAAACATAAGAGAGTGAATTTGGATTTTTTCTTTTTTTCTTTTTCTTTCAGTTAGTTCTTCTAAAAGCAGATAATTCACATCACACAGAAGGTGTTGATTTTTCACACAGACTCTGACCTCAGGCTCTGTTTTTCTTGATTAAGTGCAGCTGACCACTGTAGTGATGTTAAGGTAGAATGTAACGCTCAGCTGAAGCTTCTCCCAGGGTCAGAGAACATTTAAGACCTTTCCCTATGAAGGAGAAAAATCATATATGATGATGTAATTAAAATTTGTATCATAGTGCCTGTTTCCGCAGGGCAACAACTTAAGGCTGAGCAGACAGCCTTGACTTCTTTGCAGTCTTTATGTTTGAAGGGACTGTTTTTGGAGACAAACTGTTTTATTTATTCCATGTGATTAAAGGGGTTATACTTCAGATTTGTTAGCTATGAGAGGCCTTATATTTAATGAACTTTACTTTGTTACTCTTAATTTTTTGGAAGGGTGGCTAGTACTAAGGTAGAACAGAATCTGCTGAAGCCAGTACACTTTTTTTGTTTGCTTTATAATGGTCTTTGAATTGTCCTGTGGCTGAGGTTTTCAAAGTAGTTAGAGCTACCTAAATTCTGCTCTTATTAAAGCCTATGAAAGCTTTCCTTTTGGCTTATCTTCTCTCACTGAACTCAGTAGTGTATGCCTTTGAAAAATCCTATTCTACTGTTCCTACTATTCCTACCATTGGATTATCACTGGTGCAGAAAATTACTTACAATTTTTCCACATGTTGACAAGGCAGTCCATTTGATAAATACATTCTCAGTTGTGTTAAAATGGTAGCATTGCACCTCTGTCTCTGTAGGTGATGTAGTAAGTAGAAATGTCATTGGTAACTTTTACTGTGCAGCTCTTAGATACTTTTATTTAACTGTTTGATCTCTCTTAAAACAACAAAATCTCCAAGACCAGTTTTTGACAAAATGTAAGTTCTATAAATTCATAATAAAAACGTAATAAAAAAAAACCTGAGTACAACATGATTGTGGTGCAACCGAAAAGAAAGTGTATTCAGCAACATTATGTAGATGTGCTTGCTTATGTGTTGATCTCATGAGCATAAACTGAACTTAGATTACTTTAGCTTTAGTTATGCTTGCTGGAAAGTACTGAATGATCAATTATGTCTAAGACACTTATGTTTTTTGTGTGTATATATATTTTTTTTTGCATAGCTTCTTTAGTCATCCCAACTGGCAGAGGTTTTCAGCATTTCACGGCAGCAGACCTGGTATGTAGCTGTAGTGCCATTTTTGTTTTCAATTTGATTGTACTGAATTCTAAATGATAAAGTTAAGTTTGTCGCTTGGGGGGGAGGCAAACATTAAATAATATTTTCCATGTATAGATGCTTGAGGACAACATTTAGAGACTGGAAAGGTAGCATTTCTCATGACACTTTTGCCTGTGTACAATGTGGTATAGTAGACAAGGGCGCAGAAGTCCTGCTGAGAGAGTATCAACAGCTGGAGAAACTCAGTTTGAAGCTTCTAGCCCATATTATTTTGATGAAAACCATATAATAGTTAAGACTCTGCAGAGAGAGCTCTAATTCTACTGCTGCTGTTTGAGCAGTGAAAAAGATGGGAACGTGCCGTGGTTTTGCAAGCAGTGGAGTCAGGAGATGTGTTGGAAGACATGGCAGCCTGTGGGGTGGGAGTGTAGTGGAAATGTATGTGCACACATCCATTATTATTACTCGGTGTTAAAATAAATGTATGGTTCAGAAATGCCAGCACTAACTGAGTTGGAAGCAGCATTACCTGAGAGGCCTAGAAGTCATCTAGAATAAAGTGAGCCTTTTTGGAGCGACATGTTGCAAATTCTTCATATGGCCGAATTTGTTTCAGGGGAGGGGAGGAAGGGGCATCTCTTCTTTTTTAGTGTCGGAGTTTGATGAACATACTGAGTGCCTACTAAGCCTCAAGCTAACTCTGCTTTTCAAGCTGAAATATAATGTTGGGAAAGTATTTTTGTAGCATACAAGTTCCCTGACTTTTTATGTCCTGGGAACAGCTAGTTTGAAAGGGAGCCTTATATCCAACTGTTTGCTTTCTAGGAGAAAAAGAGACTATGAAGTGACTTTATAGGCCTAGCAAAGAGTCTGTGCTGTGTGAAGTAATACATAAGCTTAGGTAAAAGCCGCTCTGAATGGAAAAGTAGCATTCTGGATCATGTTTACATTGAGGGGCTGCAGGAAAGTGTCCTGTTAACAAAAAGGAAAAGGGTATGTGATAACTGGAGAATAGGAAAGCACTTAGGGCAAGTCACTATTCTTTCAATACAGAGTACTCTTCATTTGCCTGTATCTCAAAAGTCTGAAGCAACTGTTCAGTAAAGATGATAGCAAAAAGCTCCTCATTCTGTTTCTTACAGATATATTAAGTGTGAGTTTTAGGCCCTAAGAGATAAAGTATGAACTATGACTTAATGCATCTCCTGTGTATCTAGGGTGCTTCACGACCGGGTGCAGCTCTTACTCTTCCTTCAGGTATTGCTTATCCTCTACATGTACCTGCTGGAGTGACACTACAAACAGCATCTGGTAAGATTAAGAAGAGAAGATCTCAAATGGTACAGTGCATTGACTGTATATGGATATTGAAAGATGGTCCCAAACACAGTAGACAAAACAAATGGGAAGTTAAAAGTATGGTTGGGTAGAGCCCGTTCTCCTTCTATTCCTTTGTAGGTTGTGCTTGCAGTTGCTACATGAAGAAAGTATACTGATTAGTTACAATGTGTCAGTTACATACTCTTGCAACATCAGTTAACTTGGCTCCCAAATTATGCCAATTTTTGTTTTTTGTTTTAAAAGCGCTGTTGAGTGCGTACCTTTGTCAGTCCAGATATAGACAGCTCCTTGTCTTACATAAGGGACGGACTTTCATGTCTTAAGCAGGCAAAGACATTTTGCTTACCCTCTTTTGCTGATAAAGTTGATTCAACTTCACCATAGAACATTTGCTGGGGCGGGATGAGTTGAAAGCATATGTTCAGTCATAGGTCCACTCTTAAGATGCTGAGAAATGCATGCCATTAGGAGGTATGCCTGAAATAGGTATCTAAAGTTTCGAGACCTATAAGCCATTTTCAGTGATTCTCTGTACGTATGCACCTAGAGTTCTCTAGGAGTGAACTATCCCTTTTTGCAGGAAATGGTTGTTCACTGTTTCATCTTGTATTCTCTAGTTTCTGAACTTACTTGGAAGCAGGTTCAAAACAAGGATTTTCCATATTTTAAAAAATCCAGTATGTAATTAGATTGTAGAACTGTTAAATTGTTGCCAAATACATAAATGGGTTCACAAAAGCAATGTACGAAGTCATGCTTGATAGGTCTGTGAATGGGTATTAAACACGATGCTTTGGATGGAACCTCTGACTGGAAAAGCCTCTGAACTGTTACTTGTCAAAGGCTGAAAGTGTGCTTGGGGAAGATACTGCTTTGTACATGTCCTGTTTCCTCATGGCTTGCCTGAGTATTTGCTACTGGCTGCTATTAACAAACAGGATAGTAGCCTGACTGGATCTGTAGTTTAACCTGATGAAGCAGTTTTTAACTTTTCTCTTTGTAGGGCACCTTTATAAGGTAAATGTGCCTGTTATGGTTACACAGGCCCCAGGAGATGCACGTATTCTACAGCATCCTATTCAGCAGATATTTCAGCAGCTTGGGCAGCCTTCAGTTCTGCAAGCCAACATTGCCAGTGTTGCACAGGTGAATGCATCTTCTGTCCAGGCAACTGCTGAAACGTTGCAACCCCAGAAGCCTGCTGCCCAACAGACCGTGGTATTTCAACCAAGTGTGGTGGAAGGAAAACACCTGGAAAACTCTGCCAAGGCTACATTGGTTCAGCAAAAAATTCAGCAGCCTACTACCAGTCAGCAGCAAATTGCAACTAATGCAACATTGAATCAGCAAGAGGACTTGACAGAAAAATCGCAGTACAGTGATCTTCATACAGCTGTGTTCACTTCAGAATCCTCTCAAGTGTTTTCTCCTGGTGAATCATTGGCAAGCAACCCAAGCAGCGTGCTGCCGGATGTGGAGGGGCAGTTAGACACGGAGCCCCAGGAGCTGGTGCAGCAGCAGGTGTCTGATGATATCATTGAGATGATTATCATGGGCAACAGTTTGGATGATAACGCTGTTCGGAAAGATCAGGACAGTGTTGCTCTCGCTGACAAGGTAGGACCTGGTGAAAACATACCCATTGTTGACAACATCCCTTATGAGACTTGTTCTTCAGACAGCCATCAAACACATCTGTAAGTGACAAATAGCACCTGAATATTTTTAAGTTCATTCTTTCTTGAGCTTGTTTTGGATAGTAGCTGCTGACTGCTTATGTTCACATTTAGAATTTTGGTCACGAATATTGCTGAAATACTTGGACTGAAGGGAATGTCAAATTATAAAAAATGAACACTAAAAAGGAAATGAAGGGATATAATGCATTTCTAGGTTTATAAAGTATTTTTCAGAATTGTTTTTTGACTCTGAGTATACATGAATGACCATTTGAGCTCTACCAGCTCATTCTGCCGCTAAATTTGTAGGTGGATTCCGGCCAGTAGTGGGCAAATTGCTTTTGGAATGTCACCTGGGATTAATATTAACCCTACATATGTGAAGAGCAATTAATTTGCACTGAGAGTCTGTACTGTGTTTGAAAAAACCAGATTTGATCCAAGTGAAAATCTGCTGTAAGGAGATGCATTTCCAGAGGAGGGGAAAAAGTGCTGAACAAACTAAGGTTCAGCTAGAGCTGAATGAAAATTTAAATGCATTTAATTAACAAGCCTCTTTCCTGACTTCATCTAATCTTTGTTCTAGAAATTATTTGCAGATACTTTATGTTCAGGTTATCTTGCTGACTTTGAATTTTATTGCTTATATGTGATTAAGGCAAATTTATTAAATGCAAATGATGGTAAATAGAAAGCATATGTTGCTCATCTGAGCTTTAATGGTAGGATGACGTACATGCTCTGTAGGAAGAATAGAAGGTCAAAACAAAGCGTTATTTTCTTGAATTAGAAAGTGTATGTGGATGTGAATTCAGTGCTACAATAAAGATTTAATGAGAAATCTAAGATGATTGAAAGCTTAAAGTCCTCATGCTCCTGTCAACTCTCTGCTTAGGAACCGTAACATTTCTATGAACGGTAACTTAAAGTACTAAAATATATACATATTTCTCTCTCTCTCTCTCTCTCTCTCTCTCTCTCTCACACACACACACACACACACAACTTTTTATATCTATTTAAAGCATGTTGAGTTGATGGAGAGGGATGAGTTTACCTTGGCTTTTATTTCCAAAATGAAAAATACTATTTGAGGAGGGGAGGTGGGTTTCTTTTTTGTGTTGGAATTTCCTGTGCAATAGAAATTTTAAAGGCCAACTCAATCATCTTTCTAAAGAAGTCATTTGCTGAGTGCAATAGTGTTTAACGTCTAGCAAAATGTCTGTCTATATCACTGAGGAAGAATTTTACATGGATTCCATTTGAGGTGGCTGTAAGAACAAGATTTTCAAATGTACTCAGAGCTTGCAAGTAGGTCAGAACTTGAAACTCCCATTTAAGTGCCCCAGATCTTGTTGCTGTATTAAACAAAAATCTCAGGCTCTGTACTGAACAATGAAAGCTATTTGGTGTTAATTCACAAGCTGTCTCTGGTCTCTTTTATTCCTGTCAGATGGAACCTACTGAGCAGATGGAATCTAATTCACGAACAGAGAAGGATATCTGCAGTGACATTGAAGGCATAATTCAGCTAGATGGAACTGGTGATGTTTCTCCCAAGGAAGAAATAGCACATACAAAAGATATGGAAGAGAATGAATTCATTGGCATTATTGAATCAGAGGATCTAAAAGTTCTGGAGGATGAGGATGAAGAAGAAGAAGAAGGTGAAAGCCTTTCAAACACAGAGTCTAGCAGCAGTAGTGGTGAAAACGAAGAGCCACAAATAGATATAGTGGAGGAGGTAATTTACTTTTAAGCCTCATGAAGCAAGTTACAATTGTGTGTGTCTCTCTCAAATATTGAACTGTTAAATGCAGAACAACTCCCGATCGTATTTAACACAGGGAACACATGGTTAAGCTACATACCTCTTGAGACAGAGGTATTACTGATGAATGATTTGAGAACTCATTATGAGAAGCGTGAACAAATGAAAGATGTTGAGAATCATTTGTTTACTGGATGAATTAGAACACTTAATTAGCAGAATTGAAGTTCTGTAGGTGAAGTCATGGAATGGAGTTTTATTTCATCTAAGATCAGGGTACAAATCTAGCTCTCTTTTCTTTGTGAAGAGCTACAGGGGATTAGTTGGAGAAGAGAACAATATGTGACACAAGTACATTTGTTTCCCAGGAAAAGGCTTTTCTTAGATATGCAACTTTGTCCTTGGGATTCGCAAGAGAATCTGTCTGTTGAATCCTGACTGGATAGACAGCAGTTGATTATCTTATTATTAGCAGTTGTGATGATCTTTGTCAGTTAGCAGTCTTGTTTTTGACCTGTGTCTTTTTTGTCTTAAGTATTTTTGTTTTTAGAACATAAACATGTAAAGATGCAACATGATCTTCATAGTTTCTAGGCTGTGTGTGTGTTTGGATTTTTGTGTGTGGTAACCATTATTGTCCTAGTTGTGTTTAATGTCACGTATATTCAATGCTATTTTGGAAGAATGTATAAAATACTACTAAAATACAATTTTATTCTCTAGGACCCCTTAAATTCTGGTGATGACGTCAGTGAACAGGACACTCCAGACTTGTTTGACACAGATAATGTGATAGTTTGTCAGTATGATAAGGTATAGTATATACATTTTTATCTTTATTTCTTAATGATTTTAAATAATGTCTTCAGCAAATCCATGTCTGGTCTGCTGTCAGTGCCTTTTAAAGAAAATCAAATGCTGTAATAATGGAGTGTTTAAATTGTTGTGTATAGCTGACAGTCGCCTGAAGACTTATCTCCCCTTTTCTGAAATAAGGGTAAATAAAGGGCATATTAAACCAGTTTGATAAAGGAAAACAGAAGGGGGCTGAAAAATGAAGACTTGTGATACTGCTGGTAATGCTTATGCACATCCTTAACTTTTGAGTAATGTGACCTGCTCCACGGCTGTATGAATTAAGACCACTGAAACAGGTAATAGGAAAGAGGAGTATGTGTGACTTCTTTTATATTTTATATCTTTTAAAGTGCTTCCTGAGAAGATCTTACTACCAGAAATCTGTCTTTTCTGGAAAGCAAAACACTTAAGGAGAACAATATGGCCCATTCCATGTAAATATTCAATAGTTCAAACAAAAGTTGAACTTTAGAGATCAAACTAGTTTAAAAAAAAAAAAAAACAAACTTTGCTTTTTTTTTTTTTTGACACTTGTATGCCTACAGTGTAAAAGCTGACAAGACAAAGTGTACCCCTTATTTTGAAACCAAATATGGAAAACTGTCTAAGAGCTTGCTAAGAATGTTATGCTTTGTTAGGCTTGCTATGTTTGTTATGCTTTCAGAAGTGACCAGTGCTGATTTTTCTGTGTTCGACTAGACCTGCCTTAATGGGGCCTGTAGTCTAGGAAACATTGAGCTGCTAAGAAAATTGGTCCTTGTTAAAGTGTAACAGACTGAGTTTTTCTGAAAATGGTTATTTTGAAAAATGTAGTTATAGGGATATGCATAGAAAATGCATCTGGAATTGAGCCACAGTGTTGGTCTTCATTGTGTTTACAAGGTACTGGTACCCTAAGTTTTGAAACGTAACTTAGTTGGATGTGATGGATGTGATAGGCAGTGGATGTTACTATCTATAGCAAGTTTTGTTTGTGATGAACTGAAAAATTAGTTGAAAACTTTTAAAAACTGATATGAAGTTCAACACTGCACCTGCCTAGAAGGAATTTAAAATCCACTACTGTCAATTTATTACATCTGGTATTTCTTTTAATTTTATTTTTATTGTATAAAACAAAAGACAGAAGTTAGGAGTTGTTGGTAATTTCTTTCCTACACAGATTTAATGAAACATTTAGTCTGGTAAAAACTGGATATAAATGGTTACAATACAGATTTATCTTATTCCCTGGAAAAGAACACTACAGGCAAAATGACTGTGCTGCTCCCCTGCCCCACCAGTTTTCTGGACTCGAAAATAGATTGAAGCTGAAAACCCACGGAATTTCTAGAGATGTTTAAAATGCCTTCTTTAACACAGATTCCCGCAGTGCAGATTTTTTGCAGGCCTCTTAAACAGAATGGGAAAATTCTTTCGTATTGCTTTCTGTGATAGTATTTGCTTTTAAGTAATACTTTCCTGGATTTTTGCCTTATCCTAATGTCCTTCTGTAAACAATATTACTTTGCCCTGTGTATGGGAAGTGGAAACCACTGCATTTCAGTTGAGCTATATTTGTCTGTAAGGTGCAGTATGTGTTGGGAGTGATACAATAATCGAATTGCTCCATTACTGCCTAGTTTTGTCTAGTGTTGGGACTTGAGACTGCTACCCTTACTTGTTTTCGGGGGAGGGGGGAAGGAAGGTGTTTTAGATAATTACTATTTTTGAAAGGGAGACAGGAAAATATGACAAGACTAAGATTCATGAAGTAATTCACTTGAGAGGGGGGAAAATTCATTATAAGCAACTGAAATCCGCTGCCAGTATCAAGTATTTGTGCTCTGTTAAGAGCAATGCTGTTTAACATGTTAGGGGATATCAGAATTTTAAAGCAAAAATTAGGTGTACAGGTTTTTAAGTACAACTTAGTTTATACATTTTTATGCATGGTCTAACATATGTTTTGGTTTTGGGGGGGCATTGATTTAATTCTTTTATCAGATACATCGAAGTAAGAACAAATGGAAGTTTTACTTAAAAGATGGAGTGATGTGCTTTGGGGGCAAAGACTATGTTTTTGCAAAAGCCATTGGAGATGCAGAGTGGTGAAACTTCACTGAAATAGGTACTTTAACGAGTGTGGAATTACTCCCTTATGAACTTCTCTGAAGCGACTAAATGTTCTACTGTTTTATCACTCAAAAAAGGAGGGGAACAAAACTTAACTTGTTAAAATGTGTAAAATCTGTGCAGTTAATAATGTGAATTAAAACACTGTATTGTTAGCTGCTCTTTTCTGATTATTTCATTCCTTTTCCCTAAAGAAGTGTAATTGAAATAAACTCAACATTTTAGTCATTAAAGCTGTTCATTAGTAATAAAAAGTAATGCAATGCTAACTGACTATAGTTAAGTAAATTCCAGCTCCTTTGGTTTTCTTTCCATTTTTAAATTGGTCAAAATGTGACTTGCAGTACAAAACAGCACAATCTTTAGTAATTTATTTTTCTACTGGGGGGAAAAAAAAGGCTAACACTTGTGCAAGTTTGAGCCCTGTAGCTGTTTCAACTATGTACTTTATATTTTCTTTTTCTCTCCTTCCCTTTCTTTGGTCTTCCTGCTTTTTTGGTTTGTTTTTTGCTCTAGCCTCAAGGCAAGCGCTTTAGATGTAAGTCAGGAAATGTGGGTGGAAGAACTTTGAGCTATCAAAATATGATAATTATTGTTTGTTTTTTACCCTCTGTGTACTCAGATGCAATGAATAGTGTGCTTTAACATTTAAAATGTGATTTATTTTCATTGTCAATGCAAAGTCATTTAACTTTCCTTCTGTACCTATCCACCACATTCTATGGCTACAGACAAGGAAGCTGTGAGTGATGCAAACTGTGCATAATAAAATGCCATCTCATGCATTTTTATCTGTGAGTTGTTTTTGTCTGCCTTGAACTTGAACGTTGCTTTGAGAAATGTGTAGAAGCCATGCATGTGCTGGTAGCTCACTCTACCAGGAGAACTGCATTCCCAGCAGTCCTGGATGTTCGCTGCTGCTTTGCTCCTCTAGAAGTAGAGATCAGAGAGAAATGCTCTGCCTGTAGCTCTGTGCCTTAGCCCTTCATAGCTGTAGCTCTCTTCCTTCTTGGGCAGTATCTGAAACTTTATAAACGGTAAAGTGCCACAAGCGTATCCCTCAAAACAGTGCCTGCCTCCTTGAGGAAGGATACTGGCTTGGAGTTTTCTGTCATGTGGGAGGCAACAGTCTTTGATACTTGGAAGTGCAAGTGAGAGAAAGGAAGGGGGAGGGGATGTTTGTTTAAACTGCCAGCTGTTTGGTGATACTTCTAATACATCTGAAGATCTTCCAGCTCCCCTGACCGTAACTGAGATGCCTGTGGCTCCACTTGCACAGTTGTCCTTTTGTTGCCCCTTGGAGAAGAAGGGTTGAAGACTGTAGCCTCCTGTGGGCAGCATTGGAGATTTGTTTGTGCTATCCACTCCTGACTAGCTGGGAAGCACCAAGCCAGGCTTATTCAGAACTGAATGCCCCTGCTAAAAGGGTCAGTGCCACATGCAGGGTCTGGCACCCTTCCCTCCTGGCTGCCTCCTTTACATCTCGTGAGAAAAGATACCATGAGACATTTTGGTATCTCTCTTCCCTGCGAGGAGGCAGAGGGCCTGAGAACAGCAGAAGGGAAGTAGAAGGGAAAAATTAGGGAGAAAGAATACAGGGGGAAAAAAATGGAGAAAAATCAAACTTTTTGTCCATAATTGTATAAACCCCTGTGCTGTCAGCACAACAATGAAGTCACCTTCTCAGGAAGCAGGTTTTTAACTACTTTCAAGTATCTTGCATGCTCTTTCTGATGTAACTGCTGCTATCCACTATCTAAGCAGGACACTGCACTAGAAGGCTTGAGCTGAGTGTGGAATTTCCGTTGTCTTTCATAGATGCTGCTCCTGGGATATGAAGAACTGTGTACTCAGATAATCGCAAGATTAGTGCGTATGACTTTTTTTTTCCCCCTATTTAGCTGACTTTTAAGTAGCTACACTGACGCTATGCTCTAGACTCATAAATGCATTGCAAATGCAGCGCTTCCAGCATGATGGATGCTTTTAGATTTCGGCACTCTTCTGAAAGCTTTGAAGGGTTCACGCTCTGTAAACGTGTATATTATAAACTGCGGGACCAACATCAATTTCAGCAGCATGGTGATGCTACAGACTGGAAGCGAAGGCAACACAGCACAGAACACGTGAATCCATGGGACGCTATCAGATGTGCACCATTCACTAACTGACACTAAGCCCGTGAACTTTGCTTCTGAGAATAGGACATACTTTCTCTAATCATGATAAAATAAAGTGGTTGCAAGGTGCCAATGTTTCAGCTAGTTTAAAAGAGGGGCCGCTTTTTCTTCCTTGCTGCATCTTTCTGCTCGTGTTGTTAAAGATTGCCTCTGTGTGGAAGAGAGGATCCAGAGCTCCGAGCATACTTGTGATTGCCCTTCTCTTCTCTTCTCTTCCTGTCTCTTATCAGAGCTGCTTCCTCTGCGAATGGGTGCTGGGACACGTAGAGTAAAGTATTTGCACAGGGAATGATTATTCTCTTCCATCTTTTCTAAGCTTTCCCAATTCATATTTGTTGCATACCCTCTACTGGTTACCTGAATCTGCCTGTTTTATAACATTCTTGAAACATTTCCTGTGTTTTATCATTTTATGAGTTTTTTTTATGACAGCTTGCTGCAAACTCTGCACAGTCTGTGTATGACATTGACAATATAGATTTCACATCTGGAATTGAAAGAATTGTTTTTAATACTGCTCTCTTCCCAAACTTCTTGTAAGATCTAGGGACTGTGCATCAGTGATATTTTTCTTCCCATTCTGCTTTTCATAATCACTATTGGCAATGAAAATTGGAAAGAGGCTGCTTGCTTGCTTTCTTCTTGAAGCTTTGTTGACAGTATACATACCAGGCTTTTATTCCTGGTCATAGCTGCCCTGCATCAAAAGGGGTGCTGAAGCTGGCTTGCCTAGGCCATCAAGCATCCCCTTGCTTTTCATTTAGTTGCATTTTCTAGCCCAGCACATTCTCCATAGGAAAGAAATTTAATGTGGGGTCCATCTAGTGTCTTCCTGGGCTGTGAAATACAAAAGCTTTAGGGCTTAGAGTAGGTTTTTGCTGTTGCTGTCTCAACCCTTCCCACGTCTAAGAGAATGGCCGCTGAATGCATATCACTGCAGATCTTCTGCTCCCCTTAAACTACATTGCAGGTAATTGTTCGGAGCACCTGCAGGGCTTTTTCCAGTCTGGAACTATGGGCCATCTGTTTGAGGTTTCCTGTGCTTCTACACTAGGACTGACTTCTGTTTTATTCCACCTAACAGTACAAGGATTATCCTATGTTTTGTTTCCAGTGTTCTTGAATGAACATGACAAAGACTTGCAGCTTTGAATAAGACACTTAAAACTAACCAAAAATGTCTTAAGTCAGGAACTTTTGTGCTGGGAAGAAAAACTATTCCTTATTAAAATGCAAGTTCAGTTAGGTAATTGCTGTAGCCTGTAACTTCAGCAGCAGCCAGATCAGAGTGTTTTTGATCTGAATAGTTTCCTGTATTAATGCCTTTGATTGCCACAGTTTTGCAAACACATATCACTGTAGATGTGAGGAGATGTGTAATGCCTGCGATGGCCACTGAAGATACTTCAGTAAATTGTTGTCTGAAATTTTACACTACAAAGAAGGAAAGCTTTCCCAAAATAATGAGATAGAAAAACAGCTATAACTTATATGAGAAGCTTAGCATGAATATAAATCTTTAATAAAGTATTTGTCTTATTTACTTCCTTATTCTTGTGTTTGGCAAAACTTTATCTTTTTTTTTTTTTTTTTAAACTGGCAATTGTTTCCTAAATTGAAGATATTACTCAATTTACAGCCAAGTACAAAAAGAAAAATCCACATGGCTTTAATCCTTTTTTTTTTTTTTTTGCTGCATACACAGCATTTCCCCCTCTCTCCCATCAGTTCTAAGGGCAGTGCTGTCTATTGTCACTATTTCTAAGCTGTTTCTCCTGCATGTAGAGTTTTGGAATAATGTTATGTGGTAGGTGGAAAGGAAGGGTTTGCTTGCAAGCTCTTGTCGTTTTGAAACATCATGCAAGTAAATAGGCCAGTGTCTGCTCAAGACATTATTTTGGCATGTCCCAAATTGCATGTAGAACTCTTCCATGTACCATCAAAAGAAATAAGTCTCAGAAATCAGTTCTGAGACACATGACAGAGAAGCCCAAGGTCAGGTTTTCTACTTTTTCAGTGTCTTTAGTTCCTTTTATAGTTAAATATCCAGGAGTAGTCCAGTTTTCTCTTCTGCTAAGCTCAGAAGTTGGTAGGTATAAAGAGGTGCATTGTTTGTGATTTTATTGGTTGCTAAACAATAGTTAACTGTCTCTTGCTTTGTGGTACTGCTTCGTTCCCCAGGTGCTGGAGACTGCTCATGAGTACAGCTGCGCTCGTATACAGAGCACTTATACTGATTGGAATCATGGCATTAAGCTGTGAGGGTCAGAGATATTATTTCTAATTAATACAATTATAAGCTAATGATAAACCAGACACTAGTATAAAGAATCACTTAACACAAAGCAAACTTAATATATGGTGCTGTTTTTGGCAACAAGAGGTGTGTTTTGGAACACGGATTTTTACTCTGCTGCTGTCAGAGATTTTTAAGTGAAGGACTCAGGAAAGAAAATTGTGAAGTTTAAAGTGACTGCAATAAATACCACCTCCTACTTACACATCACGTTTTCGATGGCTATCAAGAACTGGTTGTGACTGTTTTTGAGTAGCCACAGACTTGCATAGCTGTATTCTTCCACTGACTGCAAGGGAAGTGTATTCTATCAGCTGAGGATCTAGCCCAGGGGTTTTCAGGTGTCATGAGTATCATATACTGAGTGTGATCTAAGAAGAGCAAAAATTATAAGTCCAAATAAAAAGGACTTGCTTTACCTTTTGTGAACCATAAACTGTCATGTGCAGGTCTCAAGCTACCACAGTTTTGATAGAAACTGTAAGCGTTCACGTGTTCCTCCCATTAGAGGCAGTGTAACCTGTCAAGAATAAGCAACCCAAGAAGAGGCTTGTTCTGCAGTTTGTGGCTATTGCATATGTTTTTGTCTCTAGGACTGTGAACTTCTGTTGAGGATCCAATAGCTAAGCCCTTCATTTTCAGAATACCATGCCAGTGCAGAATGTGGCCTCCTCTGAACGTGACCAGAGTACAGGCTCCTGCAGATATCCTGTGTAGCGGCCGTACAAATTGCTTCATGGCATTCTAATGCAATCTGCAGCTTGTCATCCAAGATAGATTGGTTGGCCCATAAGAGGCAGGTAAGAGCTTACAGATCTAATTCTCCAACTTCTATATGGTGTGGTGTTAGCTTATGGCAAGTGAACCTCATAAGGGTGACAGCCTATTTGCTGTGAACAGAGTAAATGTGCTGCAATATCAAAGGAATGCTCAATTTTTGCTTAAATTAGGAACACAGCCAGAAATCTGGATTTCCTTAGCATCAGGCAATGCGTGGTGAAAGAAAAGATAGATTCTATGGGAAAGCACAGTCACTGAGAAAACTGCTCTGTTTAAGTAACTAGAAATGGGGTTGGGCTTTGAGTGCTGAGGAGGAGTCTCCAGGAGGCATTCCAAATGCCAGTGGCCTTGGTGATGCCACAGAGGGGATACATGAAAATAATGCACAAGATTGTCCCTGGAGATAAAGCAAGGCTGCACTTACTCATCTGTGCAGGCAGCAGCTATCCTGCTGCTGAGAGGAGGCCTTCATAGGTTGTGTTTATATATGGGAGTACGTAGAATATACAAAACGCAGTTCTACATGGAGTAGTCGGGGTTTTGCAGCTAGTGCATCTCCGTATGCACATAGTATATGGTGGTATATAGGTTAACCTTTTTAAAGTAAATGTATTACCTACAAGCTCAGTCTGAGATCTAACGTAAACTGCAAAATTGCTAGTAGCAAAGGTTCAGTAGGTCAGCTTCTCTCCTTGGGTGACATCTTTACAACCCACTACCTGAACGTTATTCTTTAAATGGGTGTAGGTGGCTGTATAACTGGGAGTGTCTGTTGATGAAATACAGGGAGGCATCGAGTTTAGTGCCCCTTCCTTTAACCCGCCAATGCCAGCACAGCTGATGGGAGGGTAAAAAGAAGTCAGGAAAGCTAGCCGACAGGCTTTAAATACCCCAGGGAAGCACATCCGGAGAGAAAGGAGCTAGACTGCAATCACTGTTTTGAGTAGAAGCGGCTATTAACTTCAAGAGCGCTTTGGAATCTAGTTAGTTTATGGGAGGTGCAAAGCTCCGCTCTTGGACTCCCCCAGCTCCCCCCAAAAGAAGAACTTTGCCTAACAATCGCCTTCCATATCTACTGTTACAACAACAACAACAGCAAAAGGGAAAATATCACTTTGAACCTCAGGACAGTTATGTTGTGTAAGAATTATTGATTGTCACTTTTATTTATTGCAAAATGTTCAAGATACTATAAAATAAACCCTAGTTACTGTGATAATTACAGCTGATATTGTAAAGTGCAGGACCTATTGCTGCTCCAGTTTAATTTTCTTTGTAAGATGTCTTGTCACGTACCGCTGGATAGGGCTTCTCTAATGCTGACAAAAGCAGCAGTGCTTGTGAGGCTTGGCTGGGGCCTGTGGCTGAGCTGCCGTTTTTGCAGTTGGAGGTATAAGCAGAGAAATAGTTCATTCTGTAAAGCTCTGCTCGGCTTTTACAACAACCGAGCTTGCTCATCAGTAGAAAGAAATCCCTTCGAAATGCTTTAGTGAAAATTGCATACAGAAATGGGTTTGCACAGGAGTTGACTGGATAAAATAAAACCAGCAAAATCTTGGAGTTTGTCACTGTGATGAGTGGTACTTTAAAGGCAGCAGATATGGCAAAAAAGGAGATAGGGGCCATGCAGGTAAAATCTGTGAAGATCAGTATTGCCATTCTCTTGGCAACCTTGGTATCTTTATTGGCAGCTACCAGCTCTGGATTTTGAACAGCTATATAAATCTTAATGTAACAAGCACAAATGACAATAAAAGCCACAACATTTAACACTAAGATAATCAATATGTAGGCTTGGGAAAGAGCTGTTTCAATATCCATGGGTAAACAAATACTGACCTTCATGTAACTGCTGACCCCTAACAGAGGCATCACTGCTATTAAAATGGAAAATATCCAACCACCAAGCATGATTGGTACAGCATGCCTTAGTCGTAGCTTTCGATCCAACTGCATTGCATAGGTGATTGTATACCACCGTTCTATAGTGATCACAGTTAGTGTATACACTGAAAGCTCACTTGCAAACACGGTGAAAAAGCCAGCAGTACTGCAGCCACTGCCCGTTTGCCAGTCTATTGCATAGTTGTAATACTGACCACTTGTTTGGGCATCGACAGAAGCAATGAGCAGCAAATAAAGTCCCATGCAAAAATCAGCAAAAGAGAGGTTGCACATGAGGAAGCGAGGAACAGTGAGCTTGTAATGGCTAGTTATCAGAACAAGGAGTACAGTGAAATTGCCAGCAATTGCCAGGATATTTATAAACCAAATCAGGATTCTGAGAAAACTGTATCCCAGGATATCTTCACAGGGATTAAATGCATCTGGTTCCGGAGTGCATGTGAGTATCTTAGGCTGACAAAAGTCATACTCAAAATCTAGGCCAGTCATTTCATTCTCATCGAAAAAAGCTGAATAGCTGTAAGGAGAGGTTTCTTCGTCTGTTGCAAACGGGGACATGTTCTTTTCTGCTGACCACAGCGATGTGTTGTAAGAATCATCTCTATAACTATTAAAAAACAACCGCCCACAAATAGCAGTGAACTACTTGTTACATGTTGCTCACATTCTTTTATAAAATACAACAGATGAAAGTTGTTTTAAAGCAGTTACTTTCTAGGTGTGTTTCTACAGAGTGTTTATACATAAAGAAGCCTTGTAAGGACACCTTTTTTTTGGGTAGCAAACTTGGAGAGCAGAAGAGGCCACGGTCACATCCAGAGGAATGTTTTCTAGGATTTACGTATTTGTAAGTGCTTTATCTTGATTGCTTTCTAAGTGAGCCCTCTTTCTACTGATGCCAGGAGAGTGCAGTTCAAACTATTGTAACACTTGAGTTGACAGAATATAAAATATTCTGCATATAGGTTTATCAGACAGTTAAAGAAGCCTAACTAAAATAAACTAAGGGTTTTAACTGTGCTCTCTTACTTTCCTTAGGAAATGCACTTACTGAACAAAGTCCTGAGAGTATGATGTATGATTTGGGAAATGCTGAGGAATTTGATGTTAACAGTATTATAAAGTGAGTAGAAGTGCATGGTTAACTTGATAGAATATATTGATGGCTAGGAATATATGAAGGTTAGACTGGACCCAATGCACAGGGGAAGGGGTAAATATAGCTTTGATGTGAGGCTGGGGAGTGGGAAGTGCACTTGCAATACTCTCCACGTGCTGTCCTCTGCCAGCTGCTGGGCAGGCTGTGGCTGGCCAGAAGGATGTGAATCAAATGCACTTTCAGAGACTAGTACCTAACCACTCCCTACACCAGAGAGGGAGGAAAGGAGAAAAATTTACTTCAGAGATTCTCAGGTTCAAAAACCTTCAGAGCACAGCAACTTACTTGCACAGGACCATGACATATTTAACCCATCATTTTTGTGAA